GCTGCTACTTTTACTGTGATCACTATCCGTCGTGATTCTTCAGCACTCTTTCGTTTTCTTCGTCGTTTTTTTTTTTTTTTTTTTTTAAAAAAACTTTTTTTTTTCTTATTAGATCCCCTGCGGAGATTAAAATATTCAAAATCTCCCGGCTATATACCAACTCTCTGCGTTCCTTCGCGGAATACGAGAAACTCGACTTTTTTAAATTAAAATAATGTCATATTCAATGCTTCAGTTTCTGGAGAACTCTAATTTATTAAATTATTCTTTTTTTAACTTTTAAGAAATAAATATGTAGGTATATGCTTTCTTCTTTTTCAAGTGTTTATTTTTAATGTCATTTTGTAAAATAATTCATTTTCATGTTTCATAGGATTAATCGAAGTCTTTTTATAACTTATTCTGTATAAAATGCTTTTTCTGGTAATAAAATTATGAAAAGAAATTATATTTACGATAAATTGCGATAAACGATTTAAGAATAATTTCCATTTAGATGAAAACTCTCAATAGACTTTGAAGCAGGAGGAAAAATACTTTGAGAAGAATTTCGAAATTTAATTATATAAAAAAGCTCATTAGATAGAATTTTTATTTCATCGATTTTCAATTGACACAATTTTCTTTGAGTTGATTTTAATTTTTTTTTCGAATTTTTCTTTAATTGACTTTAAATTAACCCAATTTTTAACTTATCATCGAATTATATAACTATTTATAATAAAAATTTTATTTAGGAAAATTTTCATTCAACAAATTTTTCAATTTCTAATTAAAATTATGTATACTTTTAAAATAAATCAAAGAACATGAAACTGAAACTGACACCCAGTTATTATATAGAGCCCACACAATTAATTTTGAAAATTAAATTTTACAGCTAAATATTCTTTTTGTTTAAAATCAACATACAATTTTTTAAAAATTAATTAAGTGCTGATAACTGGGTGCCAGTTTCAGCTTTAATCAAAGAACATTAAAACGTGTAAAGTATTTCAGAAATAATGTTAATTTCAATAAAATAAGGCAATCTTAAATTTTTTTAGGTGAATTAGTAAAAATGTTTACTAATTCGAATTAGTGACTGTCTTTTTGCATTTTAATTAGTAAATTTTACTAATAAATTAGTAGAAAATACTATATTTATTAGTAAAATTTGCAAAAAGTCAGTCACTAATTCGAATTAGTACACAATTTTACTAATTCAAATTTAGAGAGTAACACTAAAATAGTGCCATTTACCGAATTTTTGTAAATAGAGTAAAGTTAACTGAAATTGGCTAAATAATAATTCAAAATTAGAAAAGATTTAGTTGAAAGCAGTTGCAATTTTCAAAATTAATTGAATGTCTAATTTAAATATCTTTTTTCCCAAATTTTGATTGTTGGATAGCGTACGAGTGGATCTGGTAAAGTTCCATAATTTTGATAAAAGTTAGAAAATTGTTAAAAAATTAAGATAAGGAAATAGAAACTATTATGCATAAATTTTCTACTTCTCAATCACAATATTTTGTTCACAGAATTATGAGTTTTTTTTTTTTTAAAAAGAATACAAAATTTTATAAAATTTCTATTATCTCCATTTTTCAACAAAAATCTGTTCTTCTTTGAAAAAATGAAAAAATTTGCATCATTTTTATATAAAAATTTCCAAAATTAATATATTTATAAAACATTTTCTTTTAGAAAATTTTAAATAATTTTAGGAAAAAATCCCTATGTAATTTCTGTTTGTTAATTACGATTTTTAACTAGATTATTTAAAAAATTTGTTAAAAAATTTGCATAATTTACATTTTTTTACAATTTTTTAACGAAATCTCAATTATTTTTTTTAAGAATTAACAAATTTTCATAAATTATATTTTTTTCTCATATACCTATTGATTATTGTTAGAAAAAGAAAGTTTGAAAATTATACTTTTATTAGAAAAAGAAATTTTTAGAATGTGACTGAGATGAAAGAAAATTAGAAAATCACCTTTATTAGAACAAAATTTTTTTAAAAATTCACCTTTATTAGAAAAAAAAGTTTTCGAAAATAAAAAATATTTAAGAGTTACAATAAAATTTTCTATCCTTGGAATGTTATTCAGCAACATATCATACCAACAATTAAGATGATTATCATCTCATTAAAATTTAAAAACATAAATTTAAATGTCCTTTTTGACAAATTTTGATTGTCTGATATCAAGATCATGCAAATTTTTTTCTATTAAAAAATAAACATTCTGTTAAAAAATGTTGTCTGACAAATCAAATTTATATATTTTCTTTTATTAATTTAAAAAAAAAAATTTGAAAATTATTTAACAAAATGTTAAATGCTGTTAAAAATAAATTGAAATAAAAAGAAAAAAAGACAAAAAGAAAATAAAAGAATGTGCAAAATTTTTGTTTTTCTTAATGACAATTTTAAAAAAAAATTTGATTTTTAATAACTAGATAAAAAATTGGCAACATTGGCATAATTTCTATAATCAAAATTCTGTCTGGAAATCAGGAAAAAGTCAAAATAAAATTAAATTTAATTTTTGTAGCAACTCTGAAAAGAATTTAAGACAGAAAAACACCAATGGTTAAATTTCCTTAAAATATATTCTAATTTTTCATATTTTTTATAATATTAATTTTTTTCTCCATTTTTTGGCTTTCTTATAGATATACATATACACACACTCTCAGAGTTTGGGAGATAATTAAATTTTACTAATTTAACGAGGAAACCGACTATAATTAAGTGACGCTGCGCCTTTTCTGTTGGGGCGGTAGGAATGCCGCGTGAAAAGCTATAGGAACTTTGAGAGAGATAGAGAGACAGAGAGAAAGAGAGATAGAGAGTTAAAAATGGAACCTCATTACAGAACGACAAAGTGCAATGCATTTTACTGTTGTCAACGTGAAAAGCCCATTATATGTACATAGCTTTCGTGCATCTCGATTATAGGGAATTGTTTTATTATCAGAGGGAAAAACCACGAAAAATAAAGTGCAAAAAAATATTTCCCCCATATTCTAAATAAATATCAAGAGTTTGTTTGAATTCGAACAAAAACTCGTTTATTTTTTTATTTTTTTTTTGTCACGAATTCATTTTTCTGCGCTTTTCTTTTTCAAATTAAACAATCTGTTTTATCTGGACGTTTATAATTAAATTAGTGCTTACAAAAAGTAGTTAAAATTGCTTTTTATTTATTCTTTATTATGATAATTGTAAAACATAATTAAGCAAACTATTATAATTATATTATAACATAAATTATTTAAATAATAATTTTTATTAGTGTGTTCTTATTAATAATTAAATTCTTTTGACGAGTTTCTTTAAATTTTTTGAAAATAATGTTTTTTTAATAATTTTAATTAAAAATTTGGAAAATAATTTAATTAAACAAAGAATTTTTCAATTTTTTAAAATAATGTTGTCTGTTCATAATTGTAATTAAAAATTTGATTAATTGAATTTTATTAAAATGTATTGATAACTAATATTGAATTTCTGCAAAGAATTTTACTATTTATAAAAGTAATTGAATTCTTCCAAAGAATGTTATTTTCTAAAAATAATAATTGAATTCTTGCGAAGAATCTTATTCAAATTTTTGAAAATAATAAGCAGTAATGATTAATTATGTACTTAATAAGTAATAAAAATTTAATTTGCTCAAGAAATAAATAAATATCAATTATTTGAACATTCAGAAATTTAAAATTATAAAAATTTAAGAAAAGTTCAATAATTATAATTATTGAATAATAATATAACTTTTAGAAGCAAAAAATTAATTTAAAACTTTAAGAGGGACTTTATAATTTAAAAATAAAATTATAATTACGTTGACTAACTTCCCTTGATTATTTTCAAAAAATTTAAATAAAATTCTTTAAAAGAATTTAATTATATTATATTTTCAATAAAATGCAAAGAAATTTCAATTATTTCAAAAATTGTCAATTATTTGTTTATAAAAATTCAATTATCTTGAAACAATAGAATTGAAAAATTTCAAAATTCTTATTTTTTAGAATTTTCAAAGAAACTCTGCGAAAATTCAATTTTATTAAAAAATTTTAAGCGTGTATCATTCTCGAAATTAACTAATAAAAATTTTAATTAATATTCTTCGCACTAAGAAACATGAATACATTTGAATGTGACTCTTTATAAAATTCAATTATTTATCAATTATTAAATTAAAATACTTTGAAAATTCGATTTGTTAAAAAGTTTTTAATGAAATTCTTTAACAAATTTAATTATTATTTTCAGTTGAATTTCACAAAATTTCTATAATTTCGATAATTTTTTTTTAAATTTATTTCCTAACTATATTTGAATCAGTGACTGATTTTTTACTATCAAATTAATTATTTTTAAGTAATTCAAATTTAGAGAACAGTATAAATATCTATAAAAATTGAAATAAAAAGCGATTTTTTAAAAACAAATTAAAATAATAAAACTTTTTTTTAATTTGGTGAAAAAATTCGCGGTTTGGCATAAATTTTATTAATATCGAAAAAAGAATAATAATAATTGCAAGAATATTTAATACAAACCAGAGAAAGAAAAAAATTAAAAAAAGAACATCTTAGAAAATTTGTGTAAACTCAAGGGAGTATTTTTCTTTAAATTTTTAATAGAACAACTACCAGAGTGAAGTTTTTAAATTCCTCTCTTGTATTTTTTGCAAATAAAGGAATGTCATATTCCTTTTTTTTGCTAGAATAAAAAGTACATTCATATCGGATATATCACTTATAAATAATAAAAAAGAAATTTTCCAAAATGAGTATTTTCCGATATTTTCTTTCATAACTTCATTAATTATTATTTCAAAAGAAAATATTCCGGACCTGATATTTTTCGTTACATAAACGAATTAGAATTTTTAAATTACTCGTTGGATAATAATTATATAATTTACTTATAATTATTATAATTACTTATAATATATAATTATAAACATTTTAATATAATTATATTTACTTACAAAATAAACTCGTCAGGAAACTCACCTGAAACAAAAAGAAAAGAAATTTATTAGTTATAATTATAAATAAACTAATTTTTTTTTGGAATTTTTACATTAAATTATACAAAACATCAATAATTTTTGTTAAACAAATATTTAAAAACTTATTATTTCTTTTTATTGAAATTTCAAATAATTTCAATGTTAAACCTTTTAAATTTTAATTATTTCTATAAAAATCAGGTAAAACTGCAATTTGTCCAAAAATAAATTATTTTTTAGAATTTTTGAATAAAATTATTCAAAACTTTAATAATTTTTAAAGAAAACTAAAATATTAAAATTGAAAATTGAAAAATTAATTATTTGTTAACATATACAATATAAATAAAAAAAATCTAGATGAACTTTAATCCTTTTCGCCAAAAAAAAAAAAAATCTTGGTAGATCTCATAACCGATTTATGTGTAGAGCGGAGTGGGGGAAGGGGACTATTTGTTTTTTTTTTAACAAATGAATTGTGATAAAATAGAAGCTTGATATTTGCTTGAAATATAACAGTTAAATAATAATTCAAAGTTACAAACTGCTTCCTGACTATTTTTGCTCGTAGAGAAAAGTATATAAACTTTTCAAAAGCTCAAATCGCGAAAGCTACGCTCATCGTATATTTATATTTACTGAAAACGACTTTATATTTGCAGAAAAGTATAAAATTCCATTAACGATAAATATTACTTTTAAAAAGCACTTTTTTTCAACTCTAGCGCGCTTTCCCTCATTTCTCCACACGTATATACACCTCAAACATTTTCGATACTACGAAACTGCGAGTAAAAGAAAGAAGGAAAAAAAAACTCTTGCACTAAACTTCCAAATGTAGTTTGTAAGATTTTTACTTTTTTTCTTGTTTTTAAAATCCACGAACTTTCATTTAAAAATTTTTTTGACAAATTTAATTTATGGAATGATTTTGAATTTTAATTACTGTCAGACATAAAATTAGTTCAATTAAAAAAAAACATTTTGAAGATATACACGCATCTCATTAATTTTAATATTTTTTTAATATATTTTAGCCGAATAGATTATTTTTATATTTTTTAAACTATTTTTCATTATTTTTATTTTTAATTACTCTTAATATTTTCCTATAATAATAATATTAAAAATAAATATGATAGAATTATAATAATTATAGTAATAAAAAAAATATAATTTTAATAATAAATATAGAATACTGACAATAAACACAATAATAATAATTAAAAAATTGCATTGTGTCTAGTAAATAATTATTTTAATAATAATAATAATAATAAATAAAATATATAATAATTATGTTTAGAGATGCGTTCAATTACATTATAGAATCCCCACAAAATGAATTTTCAACTAACAATAACCACATCATAATTAAGTGAACTAATTTTGTGTGCGAGAATTAATTTTTCCTGTTTTTCTATTTTTTCTTTAAAAAAGAAAACAAAAAATTAAAAAGCACATAATACGAAAATAATGTTTTTTATAACGAAATTTATTTTGAAGGAATAAAAGAAACGAAAATTATTTTTTTAATTCTGTGCTAATAAATATTTTTAAAAATTTTAATAATAATATTCTAAAATTTTAGTCCGTCCCATTCATTGTATGTAGAATCTAAACACAATCTAATCAAATCCAACAAATATTAATTAAGAGATTATATTGGATTTTCGAACAAATATGGGTCAAAAGAAGAGAGAGAGAGGGAGAGAAATATAGAGCTCTTACATTAATAATATATTATAATAATTATCATAATAATAGTAATAAAAAACAATAATAATGAAAATAATAATAATAATAATAATAATAATAATAATAATAATAATAATAATAATAATAATAATAATAATAATAATAATAATAATAATAATAATAATAATAATTATTATAATAATAATAATATTAATAATATAATAATAAAAATAAAAATAAGACATTTATTATTTTATCCATAAATGCGTATTAATTATTGGAAGAAAAAATGTATTAATTCTTCTCTGTATATTTCTATTTATATATATTTAGCTCAAAATAGAGAAAATTCAACGAAAATATAATAGATTGATGACATGCTGAAAATACCATGTATATAGTCTCATAAATTATTATAATCTCATTAATTATCAAAATTACTTTATCATATATATTTATGAAAATATTGATGATAATACTTTGGTGACCTTTATACATTTGGTAATTTTAATATGAATGCAAATTTTCCAATTTTTAATCTTTATTTTTTTTTAAATTATTAATTGGAAATTCAATATATAAAATTGAAAACATCAGTTTTCTGTACATATTTATATATGTTTTCGAAATAATTCCATTGAATGGTAATGTGTTTATAAATATATTTTGAATTAAATTTGTCTGTAAAATTTTTTAATTTAATAAATTTTTCTTTAAGTCTTTTTTATTTTTATTGAACTTTCATCTTTCAATTTAAATTTACTCTCTAAATCTGAATTAGTTCAAAATCGTAACTGACTTTATGCTTCTGCAATGAGAAAAAAAATAACTAATTATATAATAAAGTAATATTATGAAGTAATGAATAAGTAACTAATTATAATAAGTAAATAATGAATAATTATTAATATTATTAGTAAAAAAATAAATAATTATTAGTTGAAAATAAGTAATTAGTAGTAAATAAATAACTAATTATTAGTAGAAAGTAAATAATTAGTAGTAAATAAGTAACTATAATTAGTAGTAAATAAGTAACTTATTATTAGTAAATAATTAGTAGTAAAAAGTAACTAATTATTAGAGCATGATTTTCTGCTTTAACAATTAGTTAAAAATAACTAATCATCACTAAAAAAAAAATTAAGGAAAAAATTTACTAATAATTATAATTATTTTTTACAAATCGCTGGAAAAACCAAACAAAAAAAAACTAACAATTAGCTAATTTAGAATTAGAGAGAAAAAAACAAAATGAAAGTCTTATTGACCTAGAATTTTTAAACCATTGTTTCGACAACATTTTTTGTAATCAACCCCAAAAATGTATCTTATCAAGAGTTCAAATTATTTTTTTTCTTTATGTTCGATAAAATAAATGTTTGGTTTGATAATACTAGCAATAAATAGAAAAAGGGCAATTAACTAATAATAGTGGTTTTATAATAATTAATTTATTTAATAAAATTAAAAATATTTTTAAAAATAAAGTAAATAATTTATTCAAAATAATTAAAAAAATTATTTTAACAATAATCAAAAAGAAAAATAATGAACAAATATTAAAAAAAATGCAAAACAACTAAATAAATTTATTACTATATTGTATATGATATGATATGATAACAAAAGTGGGAAAATTCTTGAATTTCTCATAATCTCAAGAGTGTTGATGAGCTTTAACCTTTTGTTGAAATACAAATGACGTTCTCTGAATGTTCTAATCAATTACCACGCATCAAGTTTCAAAATTCAATGATTCATATATTTAAGGAAAATCGTTATTTTCTCAATTATTTATATTCTATATATAAATGTACACGAAAACTAATCGAAAAAATATATATAGAGAAAAAATAAAGTAACTTTAATTTTTTCTTCAATTTATAGTGCTTCAAAATATTCTTTTACTAAAATTTCCTAATTAAAACTGCCTACAAAAGTATTAGAAATTTTTACTATTATTTTGCTAGTACTATTTTTATAGAGAATACAAATTAACTTTTATTTTTTGTTTTATTTTTCCGAGTATTTTTCTTTACAGTGTTTGTAAATATTCTGTTACTAAAATATCAATAAAAAACTATTCCAAAAATAGTAACAATTATTACTACTATTTTAGTACTACTAATCTTATTTTTATCAAGAAAAAATAAAGTAACTTTAATTTTATTTCTATTTTAATTTATAGTGACCCAAAATATTTCATTACTACAATTTTAATAAAAAATTACTACAAAAAAGCAGAAATTTTTACTACCTATTATTTTTTTTTTTTTTTTTTTTTGACAAAAATAAATACAGGCAACTTTTATAATATTTCGAATTATAACAGACAATAATTTAAGTTATAATTTAAATTTTCTAAATTATTAATGCATTTTTATTGGTACTATACCTATTTGGAGTGAATTTTACTATTTCTAAAGTAAATTGCAGTAAAAATTAATAATCACTGTTAAATTGAGTAAAAATTAATAAAATTTACAGTTTGAGATTTTATTTCGTAAATATAGTAAAAAATTACTCAAAAACTTTTTCCATTGTTTTATATACTAATGAGAAAATTTCTCTAGATATCAAAAATTTTTTTGTTAAAAAAAGAAAATGAGACCACCTTATCAATCCGGGTTTTGAAAATGGAGTAGTTTATCTTCATTTATATCTTTGTGACAACGATATATGTATACTTATCTTTAACTTGACAAGAAACTAATCTTTAACTCATCATTTTTAACTCATAAATCAAATTACTATATAAAGATTAATAATTTTATGTTAATATACACAAATGATAAATTTTTGTTATGTATTTTTCCTCAGCAAAAAAATTTTTTTTTACTTTCAATATATTTTTACCTCATAACTAAAAAATTATATACTAAAAAAAAATTCGCAAATAAAGCAACAGAACTTATAAATTATGCTAAAAAAATAGGCAAACAAAGATGAATTTTCAACGCAACCAGCGAAGAACTTAAAATTTTAAATAAAGAAGGCAAAAAAAAAAAAATGTTTCTAAGGTTTCGAACTTTTAAAGTTCAAAAAATTCTAAACCAAAAAAATAAACGAAATATTTTAAACATTTTCAAAAATTAATATTAAAAAAATTGGAATATAAAAATAAATTATATAAAGATTCTAAATATTTAATTTCATTTTTGCTTTTTATAACAATCAGTAATTTTTCAATTTTAAATTTTTGCAGTTTAATTAATTTTACCAATTTTAAATTTTGCTAAAAATTCCCTTCACTTAAACGTCCAGAACTTGTGGAACATTTTC